ACACACAGACACACACAGACACACACAGACACACACAGACACACACAGACACATCACACACCTTTTTATGACAAATCCAGGTGTTTTTGCAGCAGTGGTGGCTGCATGTCAGAGGGGCAAGAAAAAACCAGAGATCCTCAAGTGTATACAATCACGTGCACACTTTGGTTGTCGTCGGGCAGTCCGCATCGTTGATCAGCGGCATTTGCATGAGCCAACATTGTCGGAGCTTGACTGCTACTGTACGTGGCGTCTTTTTCTTGTTATCGCGACCAAATGGGGCGGCGCCGCGCGGCACAAACGGTTCCAGTCGTTCCCCGAATTGGGCCGTGCCCGACACTGTCGGTTAATCGTGGTCAGCATCCAGACCGGCACCAGGTTCGGCACTGAAGCACTGCAGCTCCTGCGCCTCTTCGCCCGCCATCGAGCAGCTTCCGTCCCAGCCCAGCTGCGACCTGCCACCGTCACGTGCTGGGTGTGCTCGCCGTTGCGGCCCAGCACGCTCTCCAGCTGCCCCCGGCAGCCGAGGTAGGCGAAGGGCCCATGCCTGACTTGCATGAGGTCCTCGCCGACGCACGCTGGGACTCCGCGCCGACCGATACCCCCTGTAGGCAGGCGCAAAAAAGCGTGTGGAAAAAACAAATCTTCCGACATTGGTACTGGCGCTCGTTTTTCACCGCACTTTGTTGTACTCGAGACATAGACTGTCCGAAAAGCGCCAGCTGCAGACGCGTGAACTAGCGCAATGGCCGTCAGTGACCACCGACACGGCGCACTTCCACGACAGTGTTAGCCGTTCTTGGGCCAGGGCGATCGTGTCCAGGCCCGACCAGTTTGTCCCGGACCAGCGCCGCGGCCATCCGCAGCCGCACGGTGCCAGAGCTGTTGACAATGTCGTTTGCTTCGGGCGCAAACGTCGTGTAGCGGTCAGCTACGGCATGCGGGCCGGGAGGCTGAGGGAGGCAACAGCATACGGTCTCGTAAGAAAGAACTCCGCGGCGGCATGTCCATAGACCCATAGTCACCCCGCGGCCTCGGCAGAGCGAGAGCGAAAATAAATTCAAATACAAGTGTGAATTAGAATAGACCTAACTATACGTTCAAATGTAATTAGGAAAGATGTGCGTGTTGGTGTCACTGGTTGCCTGCTCACATAACCGACCACCAACAACCTCCCCACTCCTGTGCCAGGTGTCTTGGTGGACCAGGCAGGACAGGTATGCATTTCACGTCCACATTTTTGTCGGTGTGGCTAGAGGCACCTGGAGCCGCAGACGGCCCCGAAGCGACGGGACCAGGCAGAACTCCTTTCACAGGAAGATCTGGCAATGTGAGCTGCATTTCGGTCAGTGGGAGGCTTGCTGGCAGCTGTTCGAGCGGCAGAATCAATCATGAAAGGAGTCATTTGCATAAGTTGATTGCCGTTTGTTGCACATCGAGTGTCGCGTGCTTGCCATGTTTCAGAGCTTCTGAGGAGACCAGGGCCGCGCTGAACCAGGAAAGAGCTGACGTGTGTCAATTTCATTCTAGACGGGTCGTGTCCAAATGTGACCCGGTCCCGCTGGCGGTGCCAAGCTTTGGTGCGTCACGGTCGCTGGAAGCTATTCGTAGTAACTCACAGAGCGGTCACACTGATGAACTGTTGTTTGAAGCAAGCATGTATCGTGTTGAAGCTTCCGGACTATCACATTGAATGCGCTGCATGCAGCAGGTGGCTGTGCCGGTCAAGAGCGAAATCAAAGATATCGGCTTTGCACTCTACAGTGGCTCTTGTTCTTTGTTCAGCGTGCAGTTCGAACACAACTACCGCCTTATCGCCGTGTCGTTTCATTCACTTTTCATTCATTGTCTGCAGCTTCGAGCATCAAGAAACATGTGGAGTTTCCTGCAGGCATGTGTGTGCACCGGAGCTTCAGGCATTCATTTCCATGGCCAGGCGTATCAACAAAATTTTGGGAGCACATCCAAATTCCTTTCGGCTGCATCCGTAACTGGAGCCATGCCGCGAGGACGCCGAAAGGCATGCAAGGCACCAGGGTGGCAGTGCATAAGGTGACATGCCTCAGTGCATGGCTGATCGTGGCGGAGTTCGAGGCTGTGAAGAAGAAGTTCCATGCCCTGGACCGGAGCGGCGATGGCAAGCTCGATTTCGAAGAGCTGCCAGCGGCTAAGATTAAATTGCATGCTTATACACGAAACATAAACATATATGTAACATAACCACAAACACAGTATGTGCACACACTGAGAGACAGAGAGAGATATACATATATATGTACACGCATGCACACTTACTGACTTGTTTGTTTGTTTGTTTGGCTTTTCTTTGTTCGTTTGATTGTTTTAGTTTTTGAGATTACTTCATTACTTCTTAAAAAAGATTTAGCTGTTTTGTTTTTTAATTTCCTTCCTTCCTTCATTCGTTCATCCATTCCATTCCTTTCGTTTCCGTTCCGTAGCTTAATGTAAAGATACCCATAAACTGCAGAATGTCAATCAAGGCATGAATAAGTGAGTAGATAAGCAAATAAATACGCAACCAAACAAATAAACACATATAAGTACACACACACGTATATACACACGTATGCAACAACATAAATATACGTGGATCTATCCTGCGACAGCATCTGCGACTGCTTGTGTGTTGTAATGGCTTTCGCGATTTCTCGCTTCTGGCTAGGCGCACCCGCCATACTCGACAGCCGGGAACATTGCCTTTCAGATTAATTAGGATGTGGGTTCATGAACGGATTTGTTGAGTGGACCCTCCATGCTTAGCCATGCTAGTTCGGGTTTTAGGACAGCTTTTTTTCCGATATGCTTGGTGGTGTGGGTCAGCAACCCTTCTCGCTTACCACGCTAAACGGAATGACGTTTGCAAGCGTGATGTAATGCCAGCCAGCTGCCCAGAAACAAGCTTACTGAGTGCAAGCCTACGAATTTATGATGTGAGCTGGTACTTACCAATAACGAATGTAAACTTAACGCTTCCATAAGTAGTACAGTTGCTTCTATCTAATCTAAGCCCAATCATACCGAATCAGTTTAGTGAAATACTTTACTTACGCCAAATCCGATCTGTCGAATTCAGGTTCTGACAGTATCTGAGGTCCCCATATGTCCCCATCAGTCCTTCAATAATTTTGCTTTGAAATTATTCACAAGGTCCATAAACAAGGCTGGTCAATCTAGGTCGGTCTTTGCCCCAGATCAGAAAAGGCCCGCTGTTAATCACATTGTCCGAAGTTTCATGCAAACTCCAGCGTGAGGCTCCTGAAAACCAAACATTTCGACCCCTGCGGCCAAACTGTTCATCTGACCTTGGCCAAATCCGAACCATCTTGGCCTTGAAAATTTGTGTGCTCCTTTGCATAGGAGTCGTGGCTTATTCGGAAAAATAACTCTGAAAGTTGTGGTCAAGATTCAAGGACTTAGCGAAAGAATACACGGAGTGTCTAGGCCAAACTGGTTCGCATCCGTCGAAGTCGTGAACTGCTGAGGCTACACAAATCAAAGTATCCAAATGCAATTGTTTGAAGGGGCTTGGGGCGTGTTCCGCTAGCGAATATGTGTCCGTCAGGTCTATGATTTGCTCTCGGCGATACTTTCGGAGCTTTGTTGTTAAACGTCCTTTCGATCTTTGTACCATGATGCGGCAAGCCAGGAACCAAGATGCCCAAGACTCTTGATTCTTGTTTTTTGGTTCCGCTGGCCCCGTAGCGATGAAACTTTGCATTGAAAATTGAATCTATATGCAAAAAGGCTCCACAGACCAAGAAGCGGATGTCCTAAGCGTTATTTTTTGGTCAGTGGTTCATGGTTTTCCGGGCCTGGCTGCACTTAACACTGCCTTGCAAAACTGCACTGAATAGAGCGCGCCTTGGGAACCACGAAGACAGGAGCAGGTGTTGTGCTTGGGAAGTGCATGTGGATGCGATTTCGTTTGGATTAAGTGGAGAAGCACTTACTTCAAATGAAGTTGGTTTCGTGTGGTGTGGTTTCACTTGCATGCGTGTTGCTTTCTGGTGCTTAACAGCCATGCATACCTAGATCTTGGGGTGGGCTACTCTTCAACGAAAGCGGTCTTGAACATCAGGTTGCCGGCTTCAATCTGCACGGGTGTCGATGACCAGTACATAAGTCCTGTGTGTGTGTGTGTGTGAGTGTGTGTGTGTGTGTGTGATGGTTCATACTGCATGCTGGTTGTGATTACTGTATTCTGTTTGAAGAGTCAACCCCACAGAACCTGCAGGCTTCGCGGTATGTGTGCCACATGCCGTGTTACAGCAGAAAAGGAATTCTGCAGACCATTGCAGAGTAAGCTAGAGCTGTGACATGCAGGTCCGTTCTGCTACGGAGCGGGGACAGGCATTTGAAGGACCGTCTCATACCATCTCCTTTGCAACTAGTCTTGCCTATGTGCCATTAGACGTGAGGGCATTCCTGCAGCCTTCGTCACAACGATGTGCCCAGATGGTTGCATCGAGCCAGGACGCAGAGATTCGTCGACTGTTCGGAAAAATCGTGGCAGGCTCAGCACACATGCCAGGGCAGGTCCAATTGGAGGATCAGGATGGAGTAGGTGCATCAGCACTTCTGGGCCCGTGCTCAGACAATCCTGAGGATCAGAACAACGATGGGAGGATCGATTTTGCAGAGCACCGAAGCCCAGAATATCAATCCTGATTGCGTGCGCGGAGCATTGGAGTTGTCTTGCGTCGCTTGCCACCAACCTAAACTAGACACTAAGGTTCTGTGATTACATCTTCGAGCTGGAAGATGATGCGCTCTGCCCTGAGCAATCCGTGTTTCCGTTTGTTCACCCAGCGATAGAATCACCAGATGCTCGGAGCCGCAGTCGTCTCACAAATGTCGAAGCATCTTGGGCGAGCTACGTCTGCCCAAGGAAGCGAGCCCCGCCTGAAGTCGAGGCCCGCCGGTATCCGCTCCAGTGGGACTTCGGCAGCGCCTAGACCGTTCTTCTCACGTAGGACGTAGGGTGAGAGGCAAAACACAACGGGCCGTCATGGTAGCTCTGCCAGGCGACCTTCGACGTGTTCAGTGGCTTCAATGACATGATGACCATGTCTGAGTTGGGCCCCAAACCTGTGGTATGAAGCCTTCATGCGTGCAGTGCTGAATTCGAGTTTTTTGACTAAGTACACACCCCCTTAGAGCCCTCCTGCAGACATGAAGCAGTCCACACCACTGTTCTTGAGGTTCGCGAAGCTGTGCAAGGACCCTGTGGCCAGTTGTTGCAACTCTCGGGTCAGGACAAGCATTTAGAGTTTACAGTTCAGCGAAACTCCGAAATATTCGGGTTGCCGCAAAGGCACGAGGTTGCGGATGTTTTTGCCATCACAGCAGTCGTCGGTGACAGCCGGTTGCCCAACGTGCCAAGGCTAAGATGCGAACTTCTGTCATTATGCCCACGATGCTCCCAGTCTGAAGCCCAGGATGCTAAAGTCCGGACCAACCATGAAAGGCCCTGTGGTTTATCTAGACTGACAGGCCAACAACCGAGCAACACACACACACATGGTACTCCTAGCTTCAGCGGGAAAAGGCCTTGCTCGTAATCCCAGCCATGTCTTCCAGGGACAGCCGGGTTGCTGCAGCGTGTTTTCGCAGTCCGTTTTACACAATTTGCAGGTGAGTTGTTGAAAGCTTCCATGTTCCCGTGAAAGGACCTGCCGCACAGGGTAGCTTTGGACAAACCTCGCCGGACTGTGCCAATCTTGAGGGCCGGAAGTCGAAAAAGCTCATGAGACAGGATTGCTGCTTGCACAATGCGGCCTTCAAGCCAACCGATGCCGCCATCTTATTCTCCAAGGCGTGGGCAGTCATGCAACCTGTTGAGCACAGGGGTCCCCCTCTTATCCCATCATCCCCAGTATCTCAATTCTGCCCAACAAGGCACAACCATCCCACCACCGCCGCCACCACTACAACCAGCACCACCACCTGTAGAGCAAAAGGACAGAGGCAACCTCGGCAGTAGGGGAAGCTTCAAGGCTTCGGAGTGCAACCGTGTTGGGGCCTGACAGGATTGGGCCAAAGCCCGTCAGCGATATGCATTGGGGAATCTGATTGTTACTCTTCACCAGACAGGTTTCTTTTCTTCACATGCACCGTTCCCCGCCGCCAGCCCTGGAAGCCGGCTTCGGCTTGCTGAGATAGCATCAGATAGAGGTGAGCTGTTTGGAAAAGAGGGGTGGTGTGAAAGCGAGCCTTCCATCAAGTCGCTACCAAATTCTCGGCTTTCTCTTCTCAGTCAACAGCTCGCAGGTTTCTACCTGAAGTCGGTCTCATGCTTGTTTCAGGAAGCCTAAGCCGCGTGCCCCGTAACATCCATGGGACGGTGGTGAAGAGTGTTCTCTTGGCTGCACCCCTTGTGGCGACGATGTCGCGATGCTGCGGGGCTGGCAGGCTGAGAGCTCATTGCAGAACGGGCGTTACCTGCTGTTCGCATGTTTTTTGACTTTGGCAACGTTTGCCGTGGCATCCTTTTCGGCCTTCCGCCTGGCAGATCCGCACTTCGTCAGCTTCTCCGCGGCAGCCGCGGCATTGCAGGTCGGCATCTACGGCGAAGCGAGTGATTCGAACGAGTCCGAGTCCTCAGAAGAGGAGGAGGCAGAGGAGCGCCCAGACGAGGCTGGGCCCGCGGCTGCCATCCAGGCGACTCCAAACGCTTCAGACGCGATGCTCGCAGAGAAGGCGAAGTTGATCTTCGTGAATTGCGTTGAGGATGGAAAGCCAGTGAAGAAGAGAGGCTTACAAGGTAAAGTCTTGCACTGCCAACACCAGTGCAATTTGACAGTAAACAAGAGAGATTTCGTTCGAGCTGATGCAGTTGTCTTCAATCCTTTGTGGATGACTCCGCTGAAAATCCCGCCGAGGACAAAGATTCCAGGCCAGATTTGGGCATACAGCTTCCATTTTGAGTCTGCCTCCCAGCACGGCTTCGCGCGCAAAGCCACGCAGGCCTTATCAGGCAAAGTGGACCTGACCATGACATACAAGGGCACTTCCGACATCTTCCGGCCTTACTACAGGTTTAGGAACCTCCAGCCGGAGGAACGCCCAGATCCTCACAACTACGCCGAGGGGAAGCAGCACCTCCTCCTCTGGTTCGTGTCGAACTGTGGAGCCAAAGGTCGCATGAGCCTTTTCAAAGGTTTGCAGAAGATTTTGGGCCCGGAGAAAGTTCACATGTTTGGAGCCTGCGGTCGGTCTGCGGGCTGCAGCTCTGCCCATAGCGGGGATCCCTGCAACATACGCCTCATGTCCAAGTACAAGTTCTATGCGGCCTTCGAGAGCTTCGGCAGATCTCGTCTGAGTCCCGCGTCCTTGCCATATGCATATAGCCTATATATAGCTCACAGCTGAGGAATACCCGTTGTGAAGGCTACATCACCGAGAAATTCTTCCGTGGCCTCGGAACCAGGACTCCCATGGTGCTCGGACAGAGATGGCTTGAGGAAGCAGCACAGCTCCTGACAGAAACCGGGGCAGTTTCCTTGAAAAAATACGAGCTCAGCGCAAAGCCAGCTAAGGTGCCCCTGGCTTTGGGTGGGTTGGGGAGGAAAGACTACGAGTTCTTGGCACCGCCAGACTCCTTCCTCCATGTTGCCCGGCGACATCCCGTTGCGATTGGGCGTGCTTTTGAGGGTGCACTTCGTCAAGTTCTGTCGCGTACTGTGATGTCCGTTGTCATATAGCTTTGAGGCTGCACGTTTCGATTGGAGGAGAACTCTCGAATTCTCAAGCACGAACATTGAATGCTGCTCCGCAGGTTGACGATTTTTCATCTCTGGAGGAGTTGGCACAGACCTTGCTCGAAATCGATGCAGACGACACAAAGTACAACCGCTTCCTGCCCACAAGTCGGCTTCAGCTACTTCTCAGAGTGCCCAGGGGCGTCGGGCTTCTGACCCGTTGGACACGTGCTTCTGAGCCCAGGATTCCATGCCTGGCGGCAGATGCAGAAAGTCACGACCCAGACGGCCTGCCACCCGGACACGGGCTTGTTGAAACCAGCTTCTTGCAGCTTCACCCCTGCTTGAAGCAAAGCCAGCTTGCAAAGAAACGGCAGCTGTTGAAAGTCAAGAGGTGCATGCAAACGTTTTCTCGACAGACTGGAGTTTGCGCGATTTAGATGGACCATCCTTCTTCGTGCTGTTGCAGTGCTTTCGTGGGGCTTTGCAATGTTCAGGGGCGACAAGTAGGAAGGACCGGGCTTCCTGCATGGAGAGTTGGCATCATGCAGCATGCCTGAGCATTGACCAATCCACCACGCCTTACCCCGAGCCAGATGCCGGATCCGAAAGCAATCACAACGCTCGACTCGTATAAAGGTTTTTGGCAGAAAAGAGGGTGGAGTGTACGTACACTGGCTTCGGCTGGCCTGAAGCAGAACTTGCGGCCGCAGCCGTAGAGAATGTGGATTGAATGCTACTACTTTTTTCGGGTGCGTGGCAGATTGAAGCATTCAGGCGAACTACCGTGTCGCCTACTGCGACTTGTGTGTGTCTCGGCCAAAGAAGGGTGCAGAAGGTTAAGCAAGAGTTGCGCTTCGGAGCTTGCGGCTTTGAAAGATGTGTCATTCTCGGGGTTTAGTCTGCCCAGCAGATGGGTCAGGCCAGTAGACTTAGTAGTCAGCTATCAGAGGTTGCCAGGCGGCACGAAGATGGGTCATATGTGCTTTTCATTTGCTCGAATCTCCGCATATGTCGGCATTGCACAATTTCTGCAGATCCGTCAAGGGTCTGCTTGAGTGCCTTGGTTCATCAGAATAGAATGTGTCGTGGAGCGGAATGAGTGTCAGGATTGAGATTAGGGACGAGCTGGACGGCCATGTGGGTTGTATAGATAGAGAGCCGAACCTTCGAGTGCTCGTGAAGTGGGCGTTTGGAGCTTTCTCGATTTTCGATGAGACCGCTGGCCTCCCTGATGAATTTCTGGGGGCGATTGTTGCTTTTTGGTGGACCTGTGCTGAGGAGCGCCTGCATAGCGGTCAGCAGCTCCACCCCAGGCCTGTGCTGTGTGCCTTCACCCTCGCATGGTTTGATTAGAATTGGGAAGCAGGGCTCTGGGAGTGTTTCCTTATTCCGGTGTGTCTTCTGCATGAAGGAGCCAGTCTTCATGCGGTGGTCATATGGGTTGCTTTGGCTACATGACGACGTGTCATGGAGTTGGTCTCGATCGTGAAGGATGGTAATTCAAGCTTGCCCCAAGCTCGGCACGGAAGAAGCCTGTTACTGCGGCAAGGAGCACTTGGAGGTTCTCTGGTCGGGGAACAGTCAAAAACTGCATCCCTAAAGCAAAGGTACTGGGTGCCCCGGTGTGCCCTGAAACTATCTGCAAATGGCAGCGTGGATCTGTGCACCGATGTCTTCCGCTCGATTTGTGTATTCCCAGACTCTTTCCGACCTTGGCACAGTAACCGCAACACCGGCGATCAAGCATACATGACATGGCAGACATTCTTTCTCCTGACTCCGCGTTTGATGATATGAATTGTTCTCTTCCATGCCTCTCATCATCATCGTCGCCCCTACCATCGCCGACTGTACTTTGATACTCTTTGATCGCCAGCACCTAGTCGCTTTCGCCTTCACTGCCACCACCTTCAATACTGATTACACCCTTCGCTACCACTGCTTGCGCCATCACTATATCATTTTCATTACATCTTCATAATGCCCGCCCCGGCCATCATCATCGCCATCATCACAGCCCCCTGTGATTTTAATGCTCGTCTTCACCGATGTGTGGCCACCTCGGCAGGTCGTACGGCGCGAGTCTGGAAAAGTGGATGTTCGACGGCTGTTTGAGTGACGGCCCTCGTTGGAAAGCCTGAGAACCTCACGTACGTGATGCTGAGCAACAGCAAGGCACCAAGCCCTCACATGGAGAAGTGCATCCCAAGACAGCATTTGGGACTAGGCGAAGCTGGTGGGAGTGACGTTCAGACTTGGGTCTGTGGTGAGGGACCCAGGTCTTGCCGCAAGGAACCGAAGACCACCCAGTGCAGCGGTCCAAAGCGATCCTGACAAAAAGAGGGCATTCCAAACGTGCTCGGAACGGTGGATGTGCAGAAAAGCCCAAAAGAAAGGAGCTGATGACCATGTGCGACTTGGCGCAGTGATGTCTTTTCTTGGTGGCTTGATGCTCAAGCCTGTCGTCTGTGTTCTCCTGTTTCACAAGGAGTGTCATGTTGCTCAGCCCCCGATCACCAATAGCCTAGCAAAGGCAACCAACCTTCGTAAGTTTAGGGTTTGGGGTAGCTTGTGTCAAAAAGGTTTCACCTCGTCTTTCCGGGCTCAGAGTCCAGGAAAGACCCAGGTAGAGGCTTCAGCATCACAACCGAATTCCACTCCAAAAAGATAATATACAATAATAATGTAATTTAATGTAATGTTATGTTATACTCGTATGTGGTTATCCGCCCCGATCTTGACGGTGCAGGTGAAGCCAAGGGGCAAGCGCGAGTTAGGCTCGCCGCGAGTCAGATTGAGTGCACGCATGTCTTCTTTCTCTTCGATGCCAGACCCAGTCGTGCCTAAACCCTGAACCCTAGAGGGTGGGACGCCGTTCTGAAATCCTAATCCCACTAGGGGAAAATGCTCAAAGCAGGTCCAATCTGCCTACCCAACACATCAAGGAAGGTTGATAAGGGCATATTCCCATTCGGAAGTTTCAGATCCACAAGTTCAGTTTCGCCGTGGTGGCTGATTCTCGCCTTTGGATTTTTTTAGCTTAGTGCAGTCGTTAGGCCACAAGGGACAGGGGCCGTGCCATTGAAGTACTGCTAACAAGCTTGAAGGCAAAGAGCAGTAATCTCCTGCATGTCCGGCAGCCATGGAAGCTGCGATCGAGGGCGCCGGGATGCTTGGCCGAAATCTGGCAAAGACCGGACTGTTCTCGGCCTTAGTCCCAGCACTTAATGCGGGGAAGAAGGCTATCGCCGCAGCGAAGTTGTTGATGAAGGTCTCGGGTAGGACAGGAGCCGGATGCCTTGCTGGCTTTGCTTTGCGGCCAAGTTCCAGGAAGACCCAGGAGAAGAAGAAGAAGAAGGGCCCGCGAGAGTTCGATTGGACCAAAGCGACCTTTGGCCACTATGCCTGAGCCCAAGTCTCAAGCGTCCTTTAGGCGGATGCGAATCTTGGCAGGCCCTTCGCTTAGCCGCTTAACCTTGTGGAGCCATGATTCCCGGTATCCGCACTGCTTCCGCAAGAAGGTCCTGAAGCTGGCCTACGTGGGCACCAACTACCATGGCCTAGCATGGCAGGTCGCTCGGTCTTCTGTACAGTTCCCCTCTACTTGGGCAAGTTCATGATAGGGTGCCATCAGGTGAGGTCATGCTGTGGACTGGCATTGGCCCACAAGAAAAGAAGATACCAAAGCCATGACTCATGGCCTCGTTTTCTGAAATTTAGGATTAGGAAGCTATCCAGATCCTGTCTCCCAGCGTCCCAGCACATCGCGAAGTTCGGGGGCCCGATCCTCGCCACATCTCCGAGAAGCCTCTAGCGGTAGACTAGACCAGAAACAAGAGTAGTAATGCAAAATGACCTTGGGAGCCTGCCGACATGCATTGTGGGTGTTGCCGTCATTGGGGGATCTTTCGTACAGCCATGTCATGTGTGATCGCCATTCTACATGCAACAGTGCTGATGTGGGTAATCCGGTTTCAGAGTTTGATTGTCTCATGAATCGCTGTCGTTGCCTGGTCGTGCTGTTGCGGTGGTCACAGTGGCTCATGGTTTTGATGGTGATTGCTCCTGTGTCCTATGCCACGAGTACAGGAACTCTTCGCTTCAAAATAGATGGCACTCCAAATACAAAGGAGTATGTGGACCGAAGCTCAGGAGCCGAGCACTTGTCCAACCATCGAGGCGGCCCTCTTCGAGGCCTTGTAGCCGGGCCGCAGTAACATTTCGGCTCGTGCTGTGGGCACCTCTTCGGATTCAGGATGTGTGTGGAGTCAAGACCGTGGCCCAGCTACATCCTAGGATGAAGCTTCTGATGGTGCCCGGAGTTCCACTGTCAAGGGACGGCAGTAAGGAGTGATCATGCCAGCCTCATGATGCGATGGAGAGGGATTCAATCAAGATTTCAAGACGATCGTTCCTTCTTCTCGGAGCAAAGGCAGAAGACTCGCCTCATCCAGGAGCGGGGTTGGTCGCTATGAGGCCTCTGAGTTCAAGCCACATCAACCTCAGAACAAGCTCTAGGACCGGCAGAGTTGCAACTTCTCCCGCTGCGGGCGCACCGACAAGGCAGAAAGGGCTTTATGCGCCGATGGTGACCTTTGATGATGACCTGGGTGTTTGTTCAAGAAGGTTGACGTTCGGCACGGTGGGGTCGCCAGGGGGTGCATGCCGCCGGCAACTACGTCTCCTTGACTCTGCGGCTAAAGCCCGGCTCTGAATCTGGGACGGCCGCCGTGCCGCATCCAGCAATTCCTGCATGCAGCAAGATAGAGTGTAGTCTTGCGATGGCGCGCTTTTTCGTTAAGGATGCATTTGACTACCCCAGCATCCTGAACGGCGTGCTGCCGTCCGACATCAGGCGATGCAGCGGGGGGTACCAGCCCTTGGTTCCCACCCATGATGCACCAGGTTCTCCTGCCTCACCCCAAACCTAACACGGACCCTGCACTCCAAATATTGCTCGTCGCATCGAGATTCCGAGGGAATCTTGTCTGGAAGCTTGACCGTCGGATCTAGAGGATCTTGGCCGCGGCGCCTGCGCCCAGTGGCTTCGACGCTCGCTTCAGCTGCCTGTTCCGAGCGTACCAGCGAATTGGCCAGCATTGGTGGCCCGGGTTCAAAGATTAATTGGGATTAGGGCCAGAGGTTTTGGCAGAAGAGTTTCCTTCGAATTTGGGTGCACGGCCTCCCCAGGCACCTTGCAGTTCACAAGGCCGCGGTTTGAGATTTCTCGGGCTGTGCCTGAAGTTGTTCGGGGGTACTGTGGCGGCCGGAGTGGAGTTTGCTCTGCGCAAAACTACAACTGCTTAAAAGGAACACTTCCGACTTCCGGCAATCCTTGCGAACCCCCCCCCCCCCACTGCGACTAATCGGAGTCTTTTCGGGCCTTGGTTCACGTGGTTCCTGAATGAGGTACTACTTTCCACATGCTGGGGAAGACCTCCAGAAAATGCGGGAAGCAGCTGCTTACTTCGTGGGCGAGCACGATTTTCGAAACTTCTGTCACGTGGATGCAAAAAAATCAACTCAGCCATCAATCAACTCAACCATAAGAGCTGGAAAGGCACATGGCAGGGCCCGAATGCAAGGAATCCTGCCTCCAGCCGACAATCACGACCGTTAAGGCAAAATGGACGTCGAGAACATCACGAACTACCGTCGGCGGGTGCTGTCGCTGTCTGTGCGGCCAATGAGCGATGGTGTGGCCGAGTTCGCCGTGACTGGCGTCGCGTTTCTTTGGCATCAGGCGGCTTTTTGACGGTTTTGGTCTTCTGATCTTGGCACGCAGACCCGCAACCCGCACCGCAAGCCCAAAGCCTCCGGGACCGAATCGCTCCGGAGGTTCGCTGTATGGCGGCCGTGCTTCTCCTTGTGGGCCAAGGCCAGTGGGCCAAGACAAGCGGATTGCTACGACGTGTTAGTTAGTAATAGCTGTAGCTGTTTTTTCATTACATGAGTAGGAGTTCTTGACCAAGGAGGATCCGGCAAACTTGCCTGATGTTTACGGGCAGGAGATGTGAAAACGGCACGACCGGATATTATGCCATTATGCCCCTTCTGTAGTTACTGTAACGTCGCGATTCTCTTTGTAAGAGCAGCTTGTCTAGGATCTTCTCACGGTCCCTCGTCTGCATCATCTGCATCCATGTGGGAAGCCGCGTGTGCAAAGGCCTAGAGCAGCCCAGCGTCGTCCAGGAGCTGCTGGACGTGGAGCGCTACCCGCGCAAGCCGCTGCCGCCCTGCTGCAATGCAGACCGTCCCATGCCGACCTTTGGAGACAAGCTTGGGGCCTTGGAGTTAGCTGAAGCTAGTCAGGACTAGCAAGAAGTCAACCCCTCAAAAGGTCTAATGTCGTCGGCCTGCATCATTCGAGCCGTGGTTGATCACAGTGCCAAGATTTCGCACTGCAAGCGCTGGCTCGCATGCATTTGAACCGCCAGGTACGAGCCGGCGGATGAGTCTGGCTTGGTGACCCGTCCGCAGCCAGGTTGCGAAGTCTCAGGGAGCTTGACAGGTGTGGTCAAACAGAGGCGACTTGCGGCAGATGGAGAGTTGCGCGTGGCGACGACGTAGACTCCGTAGACCAGCATCTGGCTTTCCATGGCCTGCCATGGCAAGAAATCCTGATCCCAGGTGCTTCGCGACTGTGGTTTCGAGGGTGTCGACTTTGCGCCCAGCTCGCCTAAGCCAGCAGGCGGGTTCTCCCTAACCTCTGCCGGTGGTTGGGTTTTCTTTGTGCCGAGGATGGTGGTGTAGTTAGCGCTTTTGGGTGTAGTTTGGCGAAAGCGTCTCGGTTTTGCAACGCGGCAAGTCCAGACCAGCTGCGCGTCTGAAGGAGAATCGGGACTTCCAACCCCCTCCTGCGCTGCGGCCCCGTGGCTGACTGCTTCAGTGGAAGTCTCGAGTCTAAAGCGTTGTTTGGAGCTCCAGGCAACCTGCAACATCTCCCTCTTTCACAGTCCGACAGAAGTAGATCAAGTTCTAACCTTGGTTTCCTCTCAAGACAAGACCCCCTTCCTGCTTGCTTCGGTTCAACTTGTCGTGGAAAGCATGGGTTTAGTGGGTACAGTATTTTTGCATTCTGTCTTATTACAATCCGGCCTCGTCCTCGACCTCCAGGATTTCATTGTCCCGACAATCGTTTTTGGGTGTAGTGGCTGGGTGGCTTGTTGCGAGCAAATGTCAGGCCTTTATTGGGGTGGCTGACTGTTGGGCCAAACTGATTTTCCTTACAGCTGCCGTGCTTGGGGGTGGCATCTCGCCTTTGAAAGTGATTCCTAAGGGTTTCGGCTTCAAAACTTGCAAACCGGTGGGCCTGGCTGGGCTGAAGGCCTCAGCATGGTGAACACTACACTCGAGACTTTCGTGATATCTTGGAGAAAGCCACCTGCATGCTGGACCCCATGCTACCTCGATTGCAGCTCAAGGTAGCAGAGGCATACCTAGCTACTTCGAACGGGAGTTGGGCCTTTCTTGATCTGACTGTCACTGCTTAAGCCGTGGCCTTGAACCAGGACACTTTCCGGAACCTTCGGGACAGGCAGCTGCGAGCCTCGGCAGTCGCGAGCTGCCTGTTGGCCGCCTGCGGTGGTGAATTGCCCAACGCAGAGCGCGAGGGCAAGCGCAAGCATGTGCCGCTGCTGCAGCCTCTCGGGCACAATATCAAAGAAGCTTATTGCAGAGACAGAGAGAGAGAGAGAGAGAGAGATGTACTAATCTCCTGCCGTAGGGGAAACCGTTTACGCTGACGACCTCAAGGCCCCTTCCCTCCGAAACCAGACGGTGAAGGGAGCGCCTTGGCGCGGGTCCGGAGCTACCCGACGGAAGGAAGGAAGGAGGATGCTCTAATAACTAATATAGTTTTATGCTTTGTTATGCATGCATGCATGTACGTCTGTATGTGTATATGGATGGATGGGGGGTGATGGCTCGATTTTCCGCATTCACAAGGGTTTGCAAAACAAGGCTGGCGGCATCGTCTTCTGACACTACCAACAGTTATCTCTAACATCCCGATGATGCTGTCAGGCTTTCGGAAACTTCTTTCACGAGGTGCCTTGCAGTCTCGTGACCTCCGTCTCCCTCTCCCGCCAAGGCGGCCCGGCTGCCCCACGCTGCAGGAGAAGCAACAGGCCACCAGGGGCCGAGCTAAAGCTTAGGCAAAATGCCATTCATACCGGATACGTGCACAACAGATGAGCAGCTTTGGGATAGTTGATGGACACGGGGTAGTGCAGGGACTTTGCGTTAAATCCCCTTCAGCTCTTCTCCTGGTGCTACGAAGGGGATGGAATCCATTACTCAAAGAGAAGACTTCAGTGCCCTCGGCCCTTCTCAATCTATCATGCTCTATCTCTCTGCTCTGATCATCTGCTTGTTAACCCGCGAGAACTTGAACCTGCCTGCCTTGCTACCGTGTCCATCTACATGCTTATCTGTCATCAATATTTGTTTATCTCCCTTATCTGTTGGATTCTGCTGCAGAGGAGGAGGCTACGTAGGGCAATGATGTGCAATGCAAGGCGCCGGTTTCAGCAGCTCCTGCTCACGCAAACCTACCTGCCTACCTATATGTACATGTTTATTAGTCTGATGCTGTTTTCTTCAGTGGGAGGCCCTCGAAGCCCGGCGGCACCGGCGGAAGCTCACTGAGGGTGAGGAGGCGTCGGTGGTCGGGCTCCAGGATCTAGGCCTATGTGGGTTCGGAGTGTAAGGTTTGCAGAGGATCCCACACTTTTGAAGACAGATCGTGCGGTGGAACTTCGCTTTGCGCCTGCTGGTGACATGCATGCTCAATGCTTCTGTGTCGTGAATCTGCACCTTAAATTACTATGATATCTGCAGCAGCCCATGATGCAAGTGGCTCCATACATCATACCGCCAGGTGATCATGACATAGCCATCACAAACCAAGTCCCGGTGTCATGTTTCCATGGTACCGAGTGTTACCACGTTCTCAGTTCTCAGTGCGGATGATCATCAGTTCGCGATAGACTTTGCAGGCCTCTGGTGCCCACGGATTTAGGGTTTGAATCTGGCAGCGCCGCTTCCCAAACCCTAAACCGAAATCCCAGCTAGTTCACCAAAGCCGACTTAAGACCGCATTGTCCGAGTGTGAGAGTCGAAACCGAAATCCCGACCCCAAACCAGAAGCCCGTATAGAACATACATGCATTTGTGGAGTCCTTAAAGTTTTAGAGCTTTACGTAGATTCCTTGACCCAACATCCCGCGTGCCTTTCCTGCTGTCTAAGAACTGGGTCTCCAGCCATCTGGTTGGCAGAGTCTGGGTTCAAAAACTTGGTATCGGACCAGGCCAAAGCGGAGCCTGCAGCGTGAGATGCGCCAACTGCCCGAGAGCTCTCGGCATCGCTACGGCCGCTAGCAGGGTTGGATCTGAGGTTTCTCGGTTGTATCTGAAGTTTTAATTTCCAGGATTTCGGGCAGGGTATATAGGTGACGAGTTTAGGTGCCTTGAGGCGGAGTCATTGCAAGCGCGCTGCCTGCAGAAAATGGCCGCTGGCTGCGCGAGAGCCCCCACTTCCATAGAGTAGTCCTGGGAGACGGTAATGCTTCCGGCAATGCTTTCGAATTTGACGAGGTTTGGATTGTGACACCCACTAATACCTGCAACATCAGGTTTCGCAGCAAAGAGTTCGGAGCTTCGGAACCGCAGAGCAGCGCGTCTGGTCGCCACCGAAACAGCATCACCGAAAGCCTCAGGTAGGGCACCAGGTAGGATGAGAGCAACTCCTCATGCGAGTCCCTTGCAGCTTGAAGCTGATCCATTGAATCTCCCTGAACATGCCCGAGACCAACCCCTCGAGCTGGGACTTGCACTACGTCTTTATTGCGGGGTTACGCGCAGGGAACTGA